GCTGCTCGCTCCTCCACAGTGGCGGACCAGCTATTCACACTAGTACCATTCACATTACGAACTAATACCTCCTCTTTACGCTTGCATGCGATGGAACATCAAAAATCTGAGTAGAGTAACTGACTTCTCTCGAGAGCATTCAGGTCCGGCTCAAGGAGTTAAGGGAATGCGTACTGTTGTGCGGCGAATGTAGATCACTGGTGCTCGCTCGCAAATAAGGGATGTAAGCCTCCTTCCCGTTTGTGTGTAATTCTGTAATAGTACAAATATCTATGTTTTTAAATTATTCTCAACAAGTATCTATGTCTTTTAATTATTCTCAATTCTTTTTGCATTCTGTTTTTCTCAGTACGTGTACGTTTGGTTCTTTTCGAAACCCGCATATTTAGAGAAACAAAGGAATCCAAAAAGGTAGCAAAATTAGATGCTCTTGCGTACAAATGGCTACAGTAAGCTGCGCGCGTGTTACGTGTTCGTCATAATGATGCAACCCCTACAGCCTCTATAACGCCGTGAGATCTTGTCCGCCTTTGGGTATGTACGTCGGCTAAGCCGGTGTCGGTGCCCTTATTGCACCCTATCTTGGACATTTTTCCACCAAACATCACCTCTTAGGCTAACTTTGAGAGTATCGAGTTGAGAGTTTGAGAGTATTGAGAGTATGAGAGTGCAGGTTCATCCGAAGGAGAACTCAGAACCATTCTTAGCGTCTACTATGCTTTTGATATCAGATCGTCACCACCGCTTGACCTGACGTGAAAGACGACCACCAAACAAAAGAAATTTAGACTCTATCCTATCCTGCTCGTGTATGAAGAAAATGAGAAGGACAGAAGTGTCTAACAAAGGAACCACTTGAAGAAAATGAAAATGGACGGTAGTTAAAAGTTTATTCATTTTTCAATAGTACAGGATAAGGCATGAAGAGAAGTGACAACATTGAAGTACAGCCGCGTTTAAAACTGAATTTTGGATGGAATCCCTAGGTACAAAAATCATAACGTGTCAAGGATATCTAAATTCGTGCACACTCTACCCTCATTTAGAATGAAAAAGGCAAGAATAACTGAGAAGAGACAGAAAGCTTTCGAATAGGTACGATTAATTACACTTGGGAATTGATGTTGCTGAAAAAACCAATCGCCAACAAAACGAAAGAACGACTATGGTGAAGTAAGGCTCCTTTCCAAAATGTTGAACAACGCAGTGGACTATATATCAGTGGATAACAGGCGGAATCGAGAGGTCATTATATCTCTTTCAGTGTCTAAGTGAGGAAACTTAACCTGCAACGGTTACGAGGTCATAAAAATATTTGTAGAAGAGAAAAGGCTGTTGCAATGAAATGGACAGGAGAAAACAAATGGAACGAAAAACAGCTAATGTACAATAGCAGAACAGACAATCAAGTGGATGGCTGAGCCAAAGTAGCCTATTCAGCACCAACGAATCTCCTGGAACGATACACAGTAAAGGGTCTAGTCTACAGATGACTGATTCTTTCAGCAAGACAAGCTTGATGTGAACACTTATACATCTACGTGCACGCCGAGACGCGCTACCGTGGTCTCTCTGTCGAAGCCAGTATGCTACCTGAGACGAAGGTGTCCATGGTAGCTCGTCTCAAACACATTCGATCCAAATCAGCCGTTTTAGAAGAAAAGAACATGGAAGAAATGCTATGAGAAGATCTTTCTTTTTGTATAAACCAATCTAAGCAAGAAATTTCCTGAATGTGGATTCAAAAGTGATTGGATTTCGCAGTTATCAGATGAGGAAGTGCGCTATTCATCAAACGTCCAGCAAAGTAAGCTGTATTTGAAGCGTTGCATGGCAATCACGTGTTTCAAAAATAAAAAAGCTCAGATATGATAACGAAAGTTATCTCAGACGCAACAATGTGCAACTTATTCACAGCTAAAATACTGAACTTCTTTCTTAATGGAACCTGGAAATCTGGAATTCTAGAGGAGTAAGGAATAGAGCTGCTTACCATCTCGGGGGTTTGGCACTGCAGTTCCGAAGTTCAAGCACAAGAACACTGTCGCTTCAAGGTCGAATTTCTCCGCCCATGGTGGACTTAATTTGGGCCCATATCCGCTGTATTGATGGAGGCGACCCGTTGCGGCTATCGGTACCTGACGAGAGTGGCGAAGAATTGTCGGCGCACGAAAATCCACGAGCGGATACTACCGTGGCACGCGAATCTGCAATGAGACGACTTGAAATGTACCCGCACAAAGGGATAGAAAAAAGCAAATAGCGCAGCAGTATAAAAGTATAAACTAGTCGGAATTTCAGCACAATTTCATCGATTCATATGAAACCCCCATTACAACTCTTCGGCACGCTATAGAATTGAGTGACTGCCATTTAGCAAATAATGTAGAAACAAAAAGAACACTAGCAAACCTAACCCTATCAAGCAACACAAGAACTCGATCAAATTTCACAAGAGGGTAGGAGTTTCCACAGAAGATTAAGGTAACTGTAGAAGACAGTCAAATGTGTTTTTCCCAGTCTGCCAAAAAATGTTAACAGCTTACTCTTTTTCAAATTTTCCTCGTATTGGATGGAAGGCACTCACTCTTTCTTCAAAATTCCAGATTACTTTTCTAATATTTTTTCGGGGACACTGGAGATACAGAGAACAACATAATTAGTTTTGCCCGCAACGTTACAGGAAAACATTACATTATATCAGGGTAAGACTGAAGCCTCGAAAGTAACGATATGTTGTTGAGGCACAGACAGCAGAAGCACCCCTTACAAATGTTGGCACGAGAATGCACCAAAATGCTAGTTCTCGCCAACAATGGTTAACAAAATAGGAGACCTTTCAACATGCTGAAGAATTCCGATAGGTTTTCTTTTCAAATCTAAATGGCAGCCGATCGAATCTGAAATCCTCGCTGCCTAAGAGTCGTATGTCACCAGCTGCTTGATGTTACCAGCTCTTCACTTATATTTAGAGATACACTTTGCAAAGTCGGCCGTAAGGAAAAGCGTATCCGAACAGCTACAGAGGATTTCGTTTAAGCTCGGAAGCGTCGAACTTCCTTTCCGGAAAACTTGTTGTTCACAGATCAGACAACGACAGAGCAGCTCAGGGTAGGCCATTTAGTCAGGACTCAGCTCAGCAACCCGAATAAGTGTATTCCAGACAGCGTTAGTGAAGCTGCTGACGAAGGTAAAAGGGATCCCGTCATCGATGAAATGAATGACGAAGAGGTATTCGAATACTAGCTTCTTTGAACATTATTTGCTCTAAGAGTAAGCAGTAGGCTTAAATTGAGAAGATCATGGTGGTCCAGACCGCCTTGCTCACCAATGTTCTTAGTTTCAGTGTTACTTTCTACTGTGTTCCACTAAGCGTCCAAGATCGCAGCTGTCGTCACACCTTTTGTTTTTGAAAAACAGTCCCTCGACCGACGGCGATAATGCGAAAACAAGGCTATGGCAAAACCCGATCACGACCCTTGTTAAGCACTAATTTGAGGGCTACTTTGGACTGAAGTAGGTTGTCCAAAAAGCAAGGCTGATGAATAAACAGATAATGCTGGATCTCCGAAGTTAGCTCCTTAAACGTGCGTAGCCGCTGCTCTTCACCCAATGAAACTCACGATGTCGGCCCCGGATGCCGACACTGGGACGATCGACTCACGAATTACATCATAAATGCCTAAGTTTCTGAGGGACGTGATCTATACTATTTTGAGATGCGTCGTCCAAAACTCCATTCAAAATTGCAATAGCGTTTTGAATGGATTAATGAATGGAACATGTGGATTATATAAGCCGTTGATGTTATAGTCAGCGTGTTATCCTCCCAGTCGTGTTTTGCACCACAAATCCGGTCGGTCCTGGAAGAATGGGACCCGTTATCCTTCTAGAGCCATATTGATGACCTAGGCTGAACAGAACCCTAAATTAATATCCATAACATTAATATCGCGTGTATTTAGCCCAGGGGTAATTAGCCCCGTGTAGTTGCAAGCCGCATTTCTTTGGGCCTTCACGTAGTCGTAACGGTGGGAAAAACATTACCATAACAACTTTTTTGGTGTTGCCACAATGCCTTTTAAAGAATGTTGTGAGCGCTCCTTGGAAGAATACGGTTTGTGACGAGCCGGGCAGTTGAGGCAGCGTCATTTGGAGATAGTTAGTGGAGCTTCTGCAGCATCTTCCACTCATTATAAACCGGCTTTGGTAGCGTTAGCGTGGAATGGCTTGCTGAGAAGCGACACTTCTATCATGTAGGCTATGGGTTCAGTGAGCATCCTCTGCTGCATTCTGGCTTGAGCACCCAGCATGACGAGCAATCTTTCAGCATCCATTGTCGGCATTGCGTATGGGGTGAAGGTGAGAAAAACAGAAGACAGAAGGGAGGAAGCAGAAAAGATCTGTTGACTGAAGCCAACTTCCAACTTGCTTGATAGTTATCGTCCAGCCCGCTCATCGCTAGTTGTTGTAGATGCTGCCGCACAGCCGAAATGGGTGAGGGTTACGGGGTGAGGGAGACAGATTGAATGATACATAGAACATCAACACAGCAATAGAAAAGCTCGTGAATGCCGCGTGGAATCTCGTAGCACTTAGACATTTAGAATGGTATAAGCAATAGATTTTGCCCCTGATCAGTGACGCTGAAGCATTTTCACCCCAAGGTTAAGGATCTGGTCTCAGACCAGTCTGAAAGCATATAAATGCGCACATTAACAAAGACTCTGCATTTCTGCAAGTTACTGGCAAAACAGACATTAAGAAAGAAGAGTGCGGGAATATTTGGTATGATTACCTTTTCGAAGGAATGAAACAAGACATGGTTCAGTGGAATGTTCATAGCGAACGAGTGAGAGAGGGGCTGGGGTTGCCCTGACGAACGTTTAGAGACAAGTATACCGCGACCAACCCAAAAGTAACCATAGTACAGTGTGAATGTCCCTCGTGAGTTCATCCGTTTCTGTCCAACAGCGGAGGGTGTGATGGTTGCAATACACTTACAATTTACGGAAGAGTTCGTCGTCGATGACAGACATTCCATCACCACGAATGTTTATAAACACGTAAATTTTATCCCTTTCTGTACTTATTTCGCTTTTGTCTACATTATATATTATAAATTATTAAATTATATATATTGACATTGTATTTTGAAAAGATTCCCCACAGAATGTTGGGAAATATCTTGTGAGCAGATGTTCGCGGAAACTTTTCTAAAATTTGCAATTACGCATTCTGAAAACTCGTTGTAGTACTTCATCACCAGCTCACGGCTAACAAAATTAGAGCTGATTTCTCTCTGCAAGAAGGAGGACTTTCCCTCCTGTCTTATGTTCACCGGCCATTGCAAAAGCTCAAGGAAGTATCTAGGAAGAAATAGATCCCGTGCCACAAATTTTAACATACGTGATAATCTGGAACCTTTACCATTCAATTTAGCATCCAAGGCATCTTCAGCAGAATCAATTGATAACCTCTTGTGAGCGTCATTTCCACAAGGTCTTGGGCGGTCTGCATTGCGTTGATCATCTAATGACTGCTGTAATGCTACCGGCGTTAACCACTCCTGAGGCAAACACTGAAAAAGACCATTTATCAAATACTGAATGAGAATAGATTTTGCAACTACCCACAGAGAGAAACCCACCCTTTCCAGAAAGGGAATTGATCCACTGAGATTAGCTAAACGGTTGACCCATGTTGGAATATCGTTTCCTGTGAGGGCCTAAATCATGAAACTACTTCTACGAATGAAGAGTGGTCGAACAAAAAAACTTACCTTAGCAAGAACGGCGCTAAAGTGATTACAATTTCTAGATATTAGATGGTATCGATCACCACGATACTCGTGTCCAAGAGATTTTATCAGTTCACGAACAGCTGAAGCTGAGAAGGCAGTTTCACCAATTACGATACATTGCCTAGAACACTGTTTCTTCGAAAGTGGGGTGCGAAACGGAAAAGAAATGAAGTCAGGGATAAAACTGAGTCCAAAATCTCGTTGAAAAAAAGGTAAAGTTGAAACGAAAGAAAAACTCCTTACCTAAACTTGAAGTTTTCTCCCAGCTCCTCAGCATCCTGCGGCGAATTCTCAAACACACCGGAAAATGCATAAGGATGCCCGCCATAAGCATATTCTGTAAGCAAAATACTTGAATTTGCTCAGTGAAGAGGTTTTATTGTACTCACCTACGCCATAAACTTCAATTCCGGAATGAAATATACCAAATCCTATATTCGATGCATAATCATTCAGCCAATACTGAAAAATCCAGGAATTAGTATGCAAAATGATGTTAAGAACAGCCGCAGGAGACTGATAAAGCAGAATTTTTAGAATAAAATCCTTTTGTCTTCATTGTTATGAAGTTTACAAAGCAGTAAACTTAGCGAACGATAATGTGAGGTCAGCATAGAAGAATGTTGATCCAGGTGTTTTCTGAATTTCATCTCATTGCTGAAGTGTTAACTAACTTGTTGTTCATAATAACAGATTCCGGTGAGGAAACTGTGCCCACTGGGCGCATTCATAGCAATAGCGTTTTGACACACGTCCGTCAAAACGCAGTTACTATGAACGCACAGGGTCTGGGCTCTACCGCGGATATGTGTGTTAGAATATCTCGATTGTTAGCAAGGAATCATTACCATTGAAGGTCCCATTCTATCTGTTGGATCCTTCTAAATATGGCGATATGGCGCACACACAGCACCTGCACGCTGTACCAGATAGTGCGTTAAAACGCATACTTCTGCGTCAGGACGCAGATCCTATAACTGCGCTCTGAAAACTCTCCAAAACTGATGATTGGTTACTTTAGAATATGCCGAAAACTCCTCCTCAAAGTCGAGCTCAAATTGAAATTACAAAATAAGCAGGTCTAGGATCATAGGTCGCCGCCCTATCAGACGGATGTCAATCAAACTGCATATACGCAGCTACTATTCAGCTGTTTTTGCGTGAATCATTAAATCGTTTCAGAGAGGTAACAAACAGGTTTCATACTATCGCTGCGCTCTCTCACCAGGACTTCGCTCACAGAGAATTCACTGAATCTCTGTGAGTGAGCGCAACGATAGTGAGGATGCCCACATAACACAATCATAATGTGTATAACGTACCGCTTTTCTGAGAGCTAATTTGAAATAAACTCCCTCGGGTGCACAGTGCAGAAGACTCATCTTCTGCTTTCCTAGCTGGCACAAGCGACCAAAAACAACTGCTTGCCATGGTTTCCGGGCTACACGCTTCGCACTGCCCTTACAACACTCACATTCATTTCGTATATACATAAATCAAGAGTACCGCTGTTTGCTTTAGCGCGAGTGGGCTTAAGGCCGTCCATGGGATAAGCAGTGATTTCCTCTGACTGTGAGTACCTCGAGCCAACTATTCAATAACAGTGATAAAGGAAGAGAAAGCCTGCGTAAGGAAGCTACCTACTACTAACTACTAGGGCAGAATAAAACATCTAGTGCACAACGTGCACAATAGATTCCTCCTACTGGCCGATAACTGTTTCACTTAGAGCAGCAAAGGAAAGGAGCCCGACTACTTAACGCAGCTTCAAACATTGCGAAAAATCTGTGAATGATGTGAATGTGGCCAACGTCTAAGCATTTTATATCCTTCTTTGATACGATGTCTCCTCTTCCCCTCAACCTCGAGCTCGAAGTTTAGTCTAGAAGAGGGAAAAAGGAAATGAATCAATAGTTGTGTTCCGCGTTTCTTGAGCCTCGTATCTCCCAACCTTCCTTTGAATAAATGTGCAAGTGTTAGTGTCAATGGGAGATACCTAAATACCCCTACTCACTCGGAAATTTACAGCAAATCGGGTAGCAATCGATGCCACACCAAATTGACATTGAAAAATGGCGTAAAATTGACAAAAGAGGGTGTCATATAAACCGAAAGGACATCAAATCACCCCTCCAAGCTGATTTTCCATGGAAAAGTAAGGTTGTAAATACAGTTGTAGACAAGCGTCGTGAAACCGTCGTAAAGGTAAAAATGGTGACATCTATGCAAGAATTGTGTTCTAGAGAAATGGTATGTATTAATACAATGAGCTATTTAGGACTTGTTAGAAGACAAACTTTGTTAACTGAAGATCAAAATCTGCTGAAATAGCTATCAGGAACGAAGAACGCTTCGAAGAACAGCGTTTCCGGCTCTGAGACAGATCGCTAAGGCTAGCTACCAGCTAAAAAGTAACGTCCGCCGAAATATATATAGAGCGCTCAGAATGTAAACATGAAGTGCCATGTTGTGAAATATTATTTAACTATTGAGAACTATTGAGAGGACTGTTTTAGTACAAACAGGAGCTAGTATTTTTTCCTCAGCAGTGGGAAGCCACATAGCGCACTACGCACACATGGTCCTAGGAACGATTCTCATCCAGGTTTATAGTCTTCCATCCCTACAAGTGGACCCCAAGTATTGACATAACATAACATATAACGATTTGCAACGCATCAGCTGGGCAACGCAAATCGTTGAACGCAACAAAACGTACATGCCCGTCCGTGGCAATTTGCCAACTTTTGCGGAGATTCGTTGTGAGACCCCTGTTGGCACGGTGCCACGGCCGTGCCAACAAGGGTTAGTCCGCAGGCGATCGGATTGCGACGAGACGGTTTAATTTAAATTAAGTGATGAGAAAGTAATGGGTGCCGCTAATTGCACTGACTAGAGGAGTTTAAAGCATGTTAATGAAACTCTTCCAAGAGCAAGGAGGTCGTGGGGGCTCTCAAACGGCAGATCTTTAGGCCATTGCTAATTGCCTGCTTACTATTTTTAGTTAGATGCTTTCCTTGGAGCATGGTTTTTCGAATAGTCATTTATATGCCCTCCTTCCCTTGAAGGCATGTAGATGTAACAAGTTTTAAAAGATAGAACAAGGTGAGTCTCATCTTTGATAGGCTGCGGCTTATAAGGGATCCCTGGTTAAGCGCGTGTCACGTGTTTTGCATGCGTATATGACTTAAGGGAAGGATTATCCTAGGTAGTTATCAAGAAAAAACAGCAGATGACTGCCAGCGCTTGATCATTAAAAGGATTGTCTTTGTTGTGTTTCAACATAACTAGATTGTCACTGTGTTCTTTTGTAACATTTAAGTAATGCGCTAGGCGAAACCGAAGCAGGCTTCTTTGAAGCACCACAAGACTTCTGAAGATCCTTCTGCGTCATTGGCGGAAGTTCAGGGTGCTGGATGGAAACTTGCTGGAGAACTTCGCAATTTAGACATTGAACTCCTTAACCCTTATCTATCATTGTCGATGCCCAAAGCGCAGGTGGTTTCAAATTGGGAATTTTTTTACGACATTTGAAATGACGGTAACCATCTACAGTTCATTACCAAACCCATTCCATTACAAACAAAAGCAGTTCAAGACGCTCCGGCAAGAAAAAAACCAATTAACATTATCCGCTACCTTAACCAGCTACCAAATCTCAACGATTGGGAAAGTAGCAAGGTCTTAAAAGGACGATTAGGGCCGATCGTTGTTTCACCAGAATCTTTTTAATCACTCGGGTTATTTACAAGATAACCCTTCCGTCAACAAATTTAGTTTCAATGAAAGTTTGATGCAATATTAACCTTGGTCGTGGTTACGAAGATTGGGCAACATGGCAAAGCTGAGCGATCGCATCCGATTCTTGTTTTTAGTTTTGAATGAAATCAACTCCCCAACTTCTTTCGTTATCCCATCCTAACCAAGCTTTCATTCGCAAGCCAAAAATGTGCGGACCGGAGTTGGCTGTGGCATCGTGCCAATAGAGGTCCCACAACGAATCTCTGCCAAAATTGGCAAATTGCCACGAACGGGCATGTACATTTTGGCCCGTATGCACAACTCCCGGGGTAGGGGAGGGGAAGGAAATGTTTGCGAAGGGCGCGAACGTTCAAATGGTAGGTTTTGGGTCAAGATAGTGACAATGGAGCGATGTTTTTTCCTATAAACAGATGAAGAATCGACAGCCCTCGATAATCATATGATGTTTTGCCTCTGCGACCTTACCTTAGCGAGAGCTCAGAGAAGCCCGACCCCATTNCCCCCTCCACTTTGGTAGAGTGCTTTTCCTTGGCAAAAATCCCCACACTCTCCAAATTCCGGTTCATCTAATCGGGAAATAGAGCTTCGGATATCAATTTAACACTGTCTTAGAGGCGTAAAATACTGCGCTCCAGCGTCACTTATCTGACCCACGGCGAAAACAAACACTTCCTCTCCCTCCCCTACCCCGGGCGTTATGCATACGGGCCTTTGTTGCGTTCCAAATCGTTATGTAAGCCACATACGCATTGAAAACACCGCTTCTATTCTGAATGGAAGTCGTATGCATAGGCGCACCCCAAGACGGGATGGATCAACGTCAAAGACTTCTCATCCTGGTCCGATTTGACTGCAAGATGTCTTGCGACATCACTGTGATCCAATTTATCGTACTGACGACTGAACAAAGATTCCACAACGACAAATTGACCACAAAGAAGGAACCGCATTTGTAACGAATTCCAAGAAACTTAAGGACTTGCAAATATGGGCTCACATTTATCGTCAGGCCCAAGAGAATCACTTCGCGCATCACTTATGATTGCCATTAGTGGCACTTGATACATTAAGTTACGAATTATATCTATAGTTAGCACCATAGGTATTATTTACTGTTCCCACCCCCCACCCGGGCTGTGTGAATTTGTGTAGCAACGGCGTGTCGCGCTTGCCATGTGTCGCAGAAGTTCAATGGCTGAACAAAGCAAACAATGCCTGAGTCAGAAAAAATGACGAGGACGCGGTGTTCAAAGGTGAACACGGTCATTATACCTTGACAGGGTAGACCACCAAAAATTTTTCGCGCCCATGCATGCGACCGTTGGAATGCGGTCGCCCATTCCATTTTCCCCTCCACCACTCGCAGTGTGAAACCTACAGATGATAGAGATGGATAATATTGCATTATATTATATGATAAGAGAGATTTCGCGGCTAGCGAATCAGGTGATATAGCAACCGCAAGTGGTAGACGAAGTGCTAGACGAAGAAGAATTCGAAACATTTACTGCGCAACGGACAAAGGCGACGGGCTAACCCATGACAGAAGGGTCAGCCAGAGTCCGGCCTTATTGGGTAACGGAACTTCTCCCCTATCGCGGCATTCTCCCTTGCAGCGTGCGGTAAATGTCACTGCAATTACCGTACTCACCACGCCTCCCGAAAATCTATAGGACGCGATATTTTTCCTTGACTGGCTTGCTTTTTCATTGGATTGTATCGTTTTTTTCCTGTTTCTTTTCTGTTTTCATGTTTATTAGACTTGATTAATTAAAATGACTCCTCTTATATAAACGACGATCAATACCGCGTTGAAATTGAAGGGAGCGACCAGCCAATTCGAATAATTAAAGGACTCCCTACCTCACAAATTACGCGCTCCAATCTTTCATCGCAATCCTGTGATAGGCGGCGGGTGCGGCGTGTGCGACGCCGTGTTAGGGGAGAAGTTCCCGGACCCGGCCTTATTTATTGCCAATGAATTAGCGGAATTCGAAGCTTAACTAATCTTTTTCTTCGAGTCCCACATTTGCTGTTTTCGTATCCTCTTTCAGTTTTCTTGATTCTGTACCTAACCAGGAACGGAAATAATAGCTGAAGAGAAATTTCTAAAAGAACAAAATCCCCTCATTGAATGGCTAGAAGGTCTAGCACAATCATCAGAGCTGATGGAACGCTTAATACAAACAGAAGATGATGCTGCGCGAGTCCTTCTGGTTTGGGCGCGTTCACGAATCGTCTAGCTCATACCCAAACGCCAGCTGATATTATCGCGGAGAGCCTGCCTAATTCCTCAAAAAGCTACAGGAAAAGTGCATCGAAATCGATCTTCCATATATTTTAAACAACTCGCTTAGTAGGCCTGTTCGACGAGAGTCACATGGGCGCGATGAATGTTAAATGCCACGTCGGTATCGTGAGGGAAATGGCATGAAAGAGGAAGCCAATAGTTACTATTTATACCGATTATCTCATGAATACGGACCAGTTTATGACATCAGTTACTGGGAATTATAACTTGCTTCTTTTCACTAGAAGAATGAGCCGAATTTGATTCATTCCAATTACAGAGCGGTCAAACCTTCGAGATTTGGTGGAGTAATGGGGGCACGTTTCTGCAACGCCATTGTTCAGCCGATAAATCAATATCAGTCGATATTGGTTTGTTTGTCTACATCTATGTAACTTGCAATAGCAACATCGATGAGTGAAATATCCACATAGTGGTCTCAACGTGTACTTGATAAGAGTCGTCTTATTCTGATACTACAAACATACTGATTC